TGGAAAGGTGTCAACAGGCTTGACAGCAGAGTTGCCACAAATTTTTAATGAGATGCGCAGTTCAAATCCACCAGAGGCTCTGCTGAAGAAGGAGGAACAATTGCCTCCTGTACCAGTCAGATCTGATTTGATGGTACACAAATAAAAATTTTAAAAAAGTACTATCCACGGAGCATAATAAAGTGAAGCACAACAAAAATCTGTAAGCATTTTCCAAATACAAATAGCAGATTTTCAATTTTGTACCACAGAAGATTCATCTTTTCTTATTCAAGGATTCAGAAATCATCTAAGTACACACCCCACCACCACTACCAGGCATAGACTACTGACTAATGTTCAGAAATTCCTAACATTGCTATCTTTAAGCAACTCAAAAAGCTTCAGAGATATATAAAATACCTATGAAACAAGGATAAAGTTCTTCTATTATAAATGGAAAATCTCATGCTGGATTAAGTTTATACTAAGTATTAAGTCTCATAATTTTCATAATAGAGATCACAGGGGAAACCAAGGATAGGGCAGCCCAGGGCAATTAGGAGAATTAGAGGGAGTCCCACAGAAGTAAGAATAGACAAAACAGATCAGGAATGGCTACAGAAAGAAAGACCTCACCCTTCTAATGGGCTTATTCTGTTTGAACCCTAAGGAGAACTTGCATTTTCAGCTTGTTTGTTGTGCTGACTATGACTACATGCTGACAATGGCTAGATCCTAAGAACAACAGGTCTGAGTCTTGCTCTATCCTGCTCCATCCTCAGGATCTCTGACTTGTTTAAGTCCAATGTTATGGTCACTGTGTCAATCCATCTTGTTAAAGGCCTTCCTCTCTTTCTTTGTCCCTCTGCTTTTCTCAGCATGTTTGCTCCCAAGGACAATATATCCAAAATATTGATGAAGTTTCACCACTCAGTATTTCCACCTTTGAGATACTGAATGAAAATCTACATTTGAACACAATTCCCAGGTGATTCTTAAAGCTTCCTAGGTAAAATGTGGTTCTGATTATATATCCGGGGTGAAATGGCAAACTCTCAAAAGAGGGTGAACAAGTTTGAAGCTCTGAGAAAAAAAGAAGGGCCATTCCATCTAGTTCTAACCTTAATCAAAGCAAAGGAGAAAGACCCACCTTTTCACAGAATACATCGGATATGGCTTTGATATTTATCTTTTCATGGTTGTCCTGGGTGTTCATTTTAATGTAAAAAAGGAAAAGGACAAAAAGCAGTGTTTTGTGACAGGGCTAAAACTGCTTCAAGAGTCCAAGTACTATATTACAATGTTCTCATATAAAATGCTTTCTCCAGAAATGGAGTAATTTCCTTAGACACTTGAATTCTATAGTTAAATTTTGGGAAGGCCTGCACTATGGGAAGAGAATTTTGAAGCCAGAGAAACTTGGGTCTGATTCCTGCTTCTAGTACTTATTATATTTGCTGTATGCCATCAAAGCGACTATGACTCATAATGACCCTATGAACAACAGCTGTGAACTTTGCCCTATTCTGACCGAACAGCACTGTCTCTGACACATCTGATCCCACTGCTACAATCACAGTGTCAATCTTTTCCAGGGTTTTCCTCTCCTGTACTGACCCTCCAACCTTCCAAACATGATGTTCTTCTATAAGGACTGTTCCCTCCTGTCAATATGTCCAAAGTCCATGAGACAGAGTTTCAAAATCCTTGCCTCCAAGGAGCATTTTGGTTTTCACCCTATTTGGGACAGACCTGTTTGTGTATGTACAATACTCTTCTCCAGCATCACAACTCAAAGGCATAGATTCTTATTCTGTCATCCTTAGTCATTGTCCAGCTCATTGTCCATGAGCTTTGGTAGCCTAGAAGTAAGAGCTGTGCTGCAATCCCAAAGGTATGCAATTAAAATCTACCAGCTGCTCTGTGGTAGAAAGATAGTCTCCTCCTATGCAATTTACTGAAAACTTGCTGCAGGGTCAGCTATGGGTCAGTTATGATTTGATGAAAAACAGCAACAACATTCTGTGCTGGTACTTATTTATAGGTGGTTATTTTATTCAAGAAATTAAAATTCTGAGTTTTCTCATTTTGAAAATATGAATAATAAACACTCTGTACAACTCAGGTGAAAAAGAGGTAAACTGAAGGAGTGATTGGCACATTGTAGATAGTCATAGTTATTATTTATATAATGATTCTCACCATTGGGCCAATTGGTATAGATGGTGAAGAGACTGAGATTTTTAACAGTTTCAGCTTGCTTGGCTCCACAATCAACACTCTTGGTATCAGCAGTCAGGAAATCAAATGACTAATTGCACTGGGGAAAATCTGTTGTCAGGGACCTCTCCAGAGTACTGAAGAGCAATGATGTCAGTCTAAAGACTAAAGCGTGCCTGATCCAGGCCATGGTCTTTGCAATTACTGGCTATAAATCAGAGAGCTGGACAATGACCAAGGATGATAGAAGAAGAATCTATGCCTTTGAGTTGTGGTGCTGAAAAGGAGTATTGAATATACCATGGAGTGTTGCAGAACGAGGGTAAAGTATTTTTATAATTATTAATAATGAGACAGACAGCCAGGAATGAGATCAGAGAGCACCGTGCCTCCCCCACATCCTGAAATAGCATTCACTTTATTACAAATATTTAGTATTGGCTTCCTATACTCCTTCAATTCTTCACTTACTACTACGAAGCAAGGTGAAGGACATCATCATACTTGGAAGGGTGGAGGGACAGCACAGGAGAGGAAGACCCGGATGAGATGGATTGATACAGTGACTGGGGCAATGGGGGTTCGTGCGTCAGAGTTAGACTGGCTCAGGACAGGGCAGGGTTCAGAGCTGCTTTACATAGGGTCGCTATGGATCGCAGACAACTTGATGGCACATAACAAAAACAACTGTCCTGCATTCTGCTCTCACCCTGCAATATGTGGTGGGTTACTAAGGGCTGGATCTGACCTTCTCTTGAATAGGGCTCATTCTTATCTTTGTTTACTGAGTTGTCCCCCCCTCTTCTCTCCCAGGAGTGCCATCTTTCCTAATCCTCATTGAGTCCTCATTGCCTCTGGGGCCCTCAAGGCAGCTCAGTTTCCGTTTCCAGCTCTTGGCGTCTGCAAGCACGCGGGGCTGAGGTCCTAAGATCTCCATAGGCACGCTTCCATTGCCCACAGCCTTGCTCTCATTGGATAGCCTTACATTTTTTTCCGGCATGTAATTTTTTCCCTTCTTCAGACTTTGGCATTGTCCATGGAGATTTCCAGACACCATCTCCTCTCCAACCACTATACCCCTTATCCCTGCACCTTTCCCTTTCCTAGGGTCCTTGGGGATTAGGTGCACCGAGCGGTGGCCCCAGCTTTAAAGGAACGAGCGCCTCCTCCTGCCCCACCCCACTCACAAGCCTCCTCCTCTTCATCACCCCACTCAGCTCCCCTACTTACTCTGGTCCCCGCCTCCACACCTCCCCCACCCCACTCTTCACAGCCACAGTTCAGACGCCCAGAGCGCTCAGGCAGAGCGCGTCTAGGGGGGGATGTGCTCCATGAGGGCTCTGCAGAATGCCTTGAGCCTGGCCGGCAGTCACTGCCGGCGGGGAGGCTGGGGTCACCTAAGCCGGAGTCCCCTCCTTGGCGGGGGTGTCCGGCACCATCTCAGTGAGGCTGCAGCGCAGGGCTGGGAAACACCGCACAACCACCAACCGCAGGACCAGGATCAGTAAGGCTTGGGTGACAGGGGCTGGGGCCAGGCTCGCTCCCTCTCCCGCTGGCTCTCGAGTTCAGTCCCTCAGGAACGCACCTCTTCTATCCTCTCTGCCTCACTCACTAGCCTGCGATGCCTTTTCCTGTAGTTTGGGGGCTTTGGGTCCGCCAGGCTCGGGCAGTAACGTGCCGGCCGCCTAGGAGGGCATTTGGTCAGGCCGATCCTCAGGATGGTGCCTGGCCAAGGTGCGTATTTAACGCGGGATACGGTGGGCGCGTGCGTCCTTGCGGGTCCTCCCACCCTCACACCCTCTCTTCCCTGCTCCTTCCTGGTGTGGATTTTAGGGATCCGTGGATATGGAACACACTCTCAGACTCGAGTGTACTTTGGGGTCTTAATGCTCTGTGTTCCCTGCGTGTCCCGGGTGTGTAATGCGTGTGTATTATTGGTGCATACGTACGTGTGTCTGTTATTTGTGTTTGATATGTGCGTAGCCGGGGCTCCCTAATCTGTAGAACAGGTTTTTCCCATTGGTGGCTGAAAAGGGAGAATATTTGGAGTGGGGAAAAGAAAATTGTAAGAGCCATTTCCCAAACACGAGTCAGTCAGAACCGTTATTTGTGCAGCTCGGGCTCTCTAATTTAAAGGGTTCTTTTCCCTTGGAAGCGAGCTCTGGTGGCGTAGTCCACAGACAGTTGGGCTGCTTGTCTCTGGCGGTTGGAATCCCCCAGTGGCTCATGCCAGGAGAAGTGGGCAGTCGCCACCAGTTACGATTGATAAAGAGTTTAAACTTACTCCACAGGAGTAAATTTTTGAGGGTTTTCTCCCCTTAGGTGGTTCTTCTCCTTTAAGGGCTGAACCTATCTCACCACATTCTGGGGCCACGTGTCCACAGAGCTAAACAGAAATCTTGTCCTCCCCAGAACACCAATATTGTTGCTGTTAGGGCCCTTTGTCTATGACTCATGGTGATCCTATGAACAACAGATCTGAAACTTGCCCTATCCTGCGACATCCCCATGAGCTCAGACACGCTAAAGCCCAGATGTTACAATCATCACGGTATCAGTTAGTCTTGTTGAAGGTCTCTCTTTCCTTGACTCTCCACCTTTTCCACCATGATGTGTTTTTCCAAGGACTGACTCCTCCTGACTAGATGCTCGAAGTATGTGAGATCAAGTCTCACCATCCATGCCTCTAGGGAGCACCATGGAACCATTATAGACACTGCTTAAGTAGCCCCTGCTATTATAGTTTCATTATAGACATCTACTGAGTCGACTTGATGGCACCTAATAACAACAGCAACCAAGTGACAGTCAGAAAGACATGCACATCACAAAGTAGCCTGACCACCACAGCCACTACTGCAGTCAGTCCCTGTCCTCACAGGAACAGACTAATATGGTATTATTATTAACAATTATGTTGTACTTTTCCATCAGCCTCTCCCTAAGGAATCTTGAAACATTTATAGTTTAAAGGATAAGCTCTCTCTCTCTCTTGTTTTACTCTCCACTTCAGCTTCTTTCCAAATAATCAGCATGAGAGAAAGAAGTAGTGGGGGATAGAACAAAGGTTTAACTTCTGCCATACATTTAATTATGTGTTCTCTCACCCCAAAATATGTGGATAAGCCATGATTTACGTTGGCTTTGCAGTTCTGTAAGAATGTTAGAATCATCCTTCAAGATGTGATCAGCCAATCAATATCAATTCTAAGGAGATTAGGATAGAATCCAACAGAGGTACTCATGATCCTCATGAACAACATGACAGCCCTGATCCAATAAGGGCAGTTTCCTTGGGGTATGGCTTGTATCACCTTTTATCTTACAAGAAATAAGGAGAGAAGGAGAAACCTGACTACCACCAAGAAAGAAGAGCCAAGAGTACATTTTTTGGGGGCAGGGTCCCTGTGCTAAGAACTTTCTAGACTCAGGAGAAGGCTAATGTCAAAACATACAGAGATTTCTAACGGACTAAGCCTACAAATGTTGTAAGGAGACCAGGACCTTTGTCAAGAGCTGGGCCCCTGAGTTCAGACTTCTGACCTCCTCTACTACTAAAAATTGTTTCCATTTGTTAAAGTTATCCACTTTTGTAGAACCTCAGATAATTAAGATAGCACTCTCACAGATACCTTAAATGTAGAAGCTGCTTTGGAACTGGGTAGTGGATAGAGGCTGAAAAAAATTTAAAGTATTTAATAGTAAAAGTACAGATTGCCTTCAGAGATGATTGGTGAGATGATGGACGTCAAAGGCAATTCTGGTGGGGGTTCAAATAGAAGTGAAGATAGATGTAACACCAGAGATGATGTAGATGTGAGAAGCAATGTCAGAAGAATGGCAGCAGCAGAACCAGGAGATTGAACACAGGAGCAGAGCCAAGGATCAAAAGATCTTTGTGCCTTCAGACAAGAGGCTTCATGGTGGAGTAAAGTGTCTCCAGACACTTATCAATAGAGCTAAAGAGCTTTGTACCATTTGCCCAAGAAGGGCAAAGGCTGGGCCAGTCCAAGAGGCCCAAGGGGCTAAATAGAAAAGTAACCAAGGAAACATAGCCATAGACTATGGGAAGTTGAGCTGCTTTAGTCTCAAAAGGTAAAGCCATGACCTCTGAGACTTCATAAACTCCTAGTTTATGTCAGATCTTAGCTCCAGAGCTAAGGGCTGCAGACAAAAGCTGGTTTCACCACCTTGGCTCCAGAATTTCTGACTGCTGTTCACAAGTGTCAAGAGGATGGGGCCAGATCTGCTTCACAAAACTGCAGGGAACTGTACTGCCATGCCCAAAGAGCAGAAGAATGAAGCAAGTGGGGCAAGTGGATGGAATCATCACTCAGCTGGAGTAGGAAGCCACTCAAAGCAAAGGAAGTAGACTTGCACCCACCCCCACCCCGAGGGCCTGAGGACCCTCCATCCAAAATACAGAAAGAATGAGCAAAACCCAGAATATGGAGGGCAGAGCCATCACCTGGATGGTCTTAGAGAACAAAGGATATGTTTGGGTTTTTTTTTTCCAAGGCTTGAAAGCTAGTATAAATTGTTGTGCTGGGTTTTGGACTTGCTTTGTTTTACTGCTGATTTCTTAATTTGTAATAGAAATTACTACCTTACATTTTGGAAGAAAGTAACTTGTACACTAGATGTATAGATGAGGAGGAGTTTTGAACTTTCCAGACAATATGATGGGGTGAAAGTGAAAATATTTTGTATGTGGCAAGGACATGAATTTTGGGGAGTACAAAAGGTAGAATATGATAGATTAAATTCGGTTACTTCAAAATATGTATAAACTTGATAGGGTTATGAGTCTCTGGCAGCTATGTATGTACCGATGTAATCACCCCATGATATAATTAGCCCATCAGTTGTAAGGTGATTAGGGTAAGATCCATTAGCTTTACTCATATCACAATCCTGATCTAATATTAGAGAATTTCCCTGGAGTGTGGCCTGTATCACTTTTTATCTTACAAGAGATAAAATGTGAGAAAAGCAAGCAAAGGAGGCACCTGACTGACTACCACCAAAAAAGAACAAAGAGCGAGCACATCTTTTAGACCCAGGATCCCTGCACTGAGAACCTCCTGGACCTAGAGAGTAAGACTAATGCCAAGACACATGAAGATTACCAAGCAACACTAAACAGCTATTTAAAGAGAAGGCCTTTCCTCAAAGTTAATAGAAAGAGAAAGACTTTTTAGACCTGGGGCCCTGAACTTAAGACTTTTAGTCTCCAAAACTGTGAAAGAATAAATTTCTGTTAAAGTTATGCAGTTGTGATATTTCTTATAACAGCACTAGATAACTAAAACAACTTCCCACAATTACCAGAGTGGCAAGGAGAATTAGATTATCGAATAGTGGAGTCACATAATAGTGGTTTTCCAGAGAACCTTGTTCTTGCTCCTGCCTATGTCCACCTGTGTTCCAGGATAACATTGGACTAGTGCTTCCAGGACAGAAGGAGCTAAGAGCAGTGGAAGGGGGTGGGCATGGGTGTGCAACCATGAGGGGAAGGAGTTCCTGTGTTTAGGGAAAACAAAGGTAGCATCTTTAGTTTTTTTAATGTATTGTTTCAACAGATAATACATTCATACTGGTTCAAAATTCGAAGTATACAAAAACAGTGAAAAGGATCCTTCCTACCCCTTGTGTCCAGTACCTACTTGCTCTAGTGATATTAGTCTTACCAGTTTCTTACATATCTTTCCAGAAAAATCAAACACAAATTTTTACCTTTTAAATAGGAATAGTACTATAGTATACACATTCTTCTGCAGTTCATATTTATAGTTAACATATTATGTTATTAAGAGATTCCATATCAATACTTACAAGTACTCCCTCATTTTTTCTTTTCATAAAAATGAAGAAACCTCTATTTCCATGGAGTCAAAACAGACTCAAAGCTGACCCTCCAGTGGGTTTTTGGAGGCTTTCACTTACTCAACCATTTCCCTATGAACACACATCTAGATTGTTTCCAATTTTTTTATATTACTACAACTATGTTATTTTGTGGGTGTGTGAATACATCTATAAAATAAACTCATGGAAGTAAAATTGTTATGTCAAAGAGAGCTTTAAAAGATCTTCAACCAGCTGCCATATTGGAAAATGATAGAATAAAATAATCTAAATTTGTTAACATATTAGTAGGAGAATCCATTGCAAACAAAGAAGTCTTCAAAAGTACTCTGACAAGCCAACAGGAGAGATATTTTGGGGCACAGAAAGTTTTAGTAATGCATTTGGTAATTCTTTACTGAATATCTACTGTGTGCTAGGAACACAAGGTTATAAAAATATTAAGTGCTAAGAAGACAAAGTGTATATAAAACACAAAGACCTAACATGGGGTAAAGGAGATACTTATGACAATAAGATGCTATGTTGAACCAACAGCATAAGCAAAAGTCTTGAGGGTTAGAGAAGCCTTCACAAAGATGAGGATTTTTTGCCTGAAATTTGAAGGATGAACAGGCCTCTTTCAGGTGAAGAAGATCAGTCTATGCAGAAGATGGCAACATGAGCAAAGATCGGGAAACCTGGAAGTTCCTGGGCCATCCGGGGGACAATCTATTACTTGGCATAACTAGAGAGCAGGGGAGCAGGGAATAGTGAGGAGCTGGAAAGATGCCACCAGGATTGAAGAGCCTTAACTGCCGCATTAAGCAGTAAGAACTTTATTCAACATGCAGTTGGGAGTCACCAAAGAGAACTGATGTTTGAATTTTAGAAAGATAATTGCACATCATGGAAGATGGACTGAGGAGTGTAGGGGCAATTAGATAACAGAGGACAAGAAATAGAAATAAATAAGCATGATTTATTGAGCATCTATTGTGTGCCAGACAAGTTGGTTTGGTTTGGTTTTTTAACAAAATGGTTTCTTCTATCTATAAGAATCAGGTGTAAAAAAAAAGAAAAAGAATCAGGTGTAATTTTAAAGGTAAAGAAGCAGGTTCAGTAAAATTAAGTAGAGCAATATCAGGTTCATACAGCTATTAAAAGGTGGACTCTGATTCTTTCTTCTACATGATGTTAACATAAGTAAAAAGGAGGAGAGAGGGTGGATTTGAGGGACACTATGTAGACAGACTGATCCAACCTTAGTGACTATCTAAACAAGAGCTTAACGTCTGGGAGCTAGCTATATGATTGGGTATTATTGTTATGACAAGAGTCCAGAATGAAGGTTGCATAGTGGAGTGTCCTGGGTGGGGGGATTGTATACCAATGAAAGAATTTTTCTTTTACTTTTCAAAGAGAAGAGTGAACTGAGGGGGAGAAAAGTGAAACAATGAATGAATGGAAATCCAAAATCTCTGTAAATGTTCATTAAAATTAATAAAATAAAATTTTTTTTAAATGATCCCATGTTTTCAGTTTAGCATCCAGATGGGTGGTAATGTTATTAACCCATATAGGAAACACAAGAGGCAGAGCAGAGAGAAAGAGGAGATGATTTCAGGTTGAGACATGATGACTCTGCAGTGGCTTTGGGGAGTCTAGAAGCTGAGGTGTAGAGAGACAGCTAAAAATAAAGGTTTCAAGGTGAGGAGCAAAAGAAGGCTAGGCACTAAGATGTAAGGTTTCTTAGGTCAGATGGAAAGTCAAAATTATATGAAATGAATAGATCTGATGGTTCACAAAGAAGTTGAAGAGTGAAGACACCCACCCATCTATTTATAAGCCCACACCCAGGAGGAGGTGCAGAGAGCAGTTCTCAAGCTCCTAATCTCCTATCTCTGCTCCAAACAGTGACCTGTCAGAGAGTGGCATGCTGTCCCGCCTGGGGGATCTGCTCTTCTACACTATTGCTGAGGGACAGGAACGAATCCCAATCCACAAGTTCACTACTGTAAGTTGCTCTCTACCCGCAGAACCGTAATCCCTTGGGATCATCAGAAAGTGAGTTAAGGAGGGTAGGACAGCTAATAGGTTGCTACATGAGGATGTGGTTGTGTATCACTGAGTCAGAACAGACTCATAGCTGAACCCCCAGCAGGTTTTCAGATGCAATTAAATGTCTTAGGAGGAGATTGCCCATCCCTGTCCCACAGAGCAGCTAGTGGCTTCAAACCACATGCCTTTCGGATTGCAGTACAGCTACTTATCTCTAGGCCACCAGAGCTCCCTTACAAAAGGATAGAGAACAGCAAGTTATAGCAGATGCTAAGGCTGATAAAGACAGTTCCATCACTGTCCTAGGGTGGGAAGATTGAACCTTCTGACACAACCCATCTACTTAGCCTGGGACCTTGACCAGTTGCCACTATGAGAAAGGGCAGGAAACTCCATTCCCTCCTCTTTTAGACTTTAAACTCATTTGTTCTACCTACTATAGCAATTGAAGTTGAGCATATTGGGCATCCACTGGGAATGATTATTGGGAAAAGATTACTGTCCATGCAGTTACCCTTATCAAGACTGTTCTTTCCTGTAAAGGCACTGAAGGCCACTGGACTACAGACATCGGATCCCCGACTCCGAGACTGCATGAATCAGATGCGTCGCATGGTTCGAGAGTCTAGCAGCGGTGGCCTCTTGGACCGTGACCTCTTCCGAAAGTGAGGCCCCAGAAACAGGGGCACCAGTCTCAACACTATTTGGTGGAATTACAATCTAATAACAGGAAGGGATGCTGAGAATCACATAGTTGAACCTCACATCTTCACATCTTACTACATACTACAAACGTGAATAGGAATATATATACACACACATTACTTGTTACATATATAAACAAAGATTTATGTAGTCATTGGAGCTCTGGCAGCTTGGTGGTAAGGAATTGTGCTGCCAATTCAAAGGTACATGGTTTCAATCTACCAGCTAGCTGCTCAATGAGAGAAAGATAGTTAGCCTCCTCCCAAGCAATTCACTGCCTCAGGAAACCAAGAAGGGTCAGCTATGGATTGGTTCTGACGGTACACAATAACATATGCTTATTATGAAAATTTAAACAATATTGAAATACATGTCTTTGTTTCCCTCTCTCCCTACTCTTAGTCCTCTTGCCCAGAAGGAAACATCAGTAACAGATAGTAGGCATCTTTTAGGTAATGTCTTACCTCTTTACATAAAAACATAATTCCATGTAACTATAGGTATAGTATAATAGGATTTTTAAAATATAAAGGTGACATACTAGACCTATTTTTCTGGTATTATTTTTCCTCTTTATACTGTATTTTGAGTTATCTTTTCATATCATGACAAACTTGCATTTTAGAGATAAGACTCAGAGATAAGGTGATTTGCTGAAGGTCACAGATCTGTTGGCCCCAACCCTGAGGACCACTTACAACCATCTTGCTTCCCAACTTCTTTGGCTCCAGAGTGAGTCCTGCTTACATCTACCAGCCCCCTAACCCAATCGTGTCCGGGATCCAGGTGTGTGAGCAGCAACATTGTGCTCCTGACCCAGGCATTTCGAAAGAAGTTTGTCATTCCTGATTTTGAGGAGTTCACGGGCCATGTGGATCGCATCTTTGAGGATGCCAGAGAGCTCACTGGAGGCAAAGTGAGGGCCAAGGGACTAAGGGGAGGGGCGAGGGCTCTGGGTCAGACACACCTTGCTTCCTGAAGATTTCTTGGGTTTGGGATTCCAAAGAATTACAGAGAAGCAGAACCTCTGAAAATAGGGACAAGGGTTGTATGTATTCCTAGGGCCCTGTATGAAAGAAGGATTGGCAGTCTCCTCCCATGCAGTTAACTGCCTCTGAAAACCCACTCAAGGGTCAGCTATGGGTCAGTTCTGACTCAATGGTACCAAACAACAACAGGGCCCTCCCTATATGTGTGATTCCCAGAGCAGGTTAAGGGCTTCTGAGGTTTTTATGGGGACAACATGCATAGTGAATCAGTAGAGGCTTCAAAGAGACCTTCTGGATAATTAAATCCAATAACCTAAGAAGGAAAATTCATGGTCTGTCCCTACAGGATCAGGCTCACAGAAAGATAAGATCCTCTAAGACTTATAGCTTAGGTGTCTTTGTGAGCAACAGGCTGGAGTTGAGAAGGAGGCTTTGTCCTTTTTCCCTGCAGGAATTTTAGCTTTTTCTTTAGAGTCTTGACTTTGACGCTCAGCTTTATGCTTCCTCTCCACATTCATATCACCATTCTCTTCTCTCCCGCTCATGCCCAGGTGGCGGCCTACATCCCTCAGCTGGCCAAGTCAAACCCAGACCTGTGGGGCACCTCCCTGTGCACTGTGGATGGTCAGCGGTGAGATGCCTGATGGAGATGGGAGGGAGAGGCAGGCTGAAAGAGCAGGACAAAGGCTGATCCTTTCCACGGTGCTTGTCTTCTCCAGGCACTCAGTGGGCCACACCAAGATCCCCTTCTGCCTGCAGTCCTGTGTAAAGCCCCTCACCTATGCCATCTCCGTAAGCACCTTGGGCACTGACTATGTGCACAAGTTTGTGGGCAAGGAGCCCAGTGGCCTGCGCTACAACAAGCTCTCCCTCAACGAGGAAGGTGAGTACCAGCAGGACCACTTGTGGCTGCTCCCTTCTGCTTATTTCTATTCTCTCCTAGTGCTTTTGGGTTTTCTGGTCTTCTTGTGCAAAGTGGCTAATGTTTCTGTTTCCCCAGGAATCCCCCATAACCCTATGGTCAATGCTGGTGCCATTGTTGTGAGCTCCCTGATCAAGGTCAGTGCTATGCAAGCTTTTGGAAGCTCCTGTTCTCTAAACTTCCTTGTTCCTGTATTTTCTATCTCTCTATCTGCCCAACTCCCCAAGAAACAGTTGTGGGCCCTGAATCTTGTAAGGGTCCCAAGGGTCTTGTGAGAGTACAGCAGATGATACAGGGAGCTTTGGTGGTATAGTCCATAGGGACTTGCACTGTTAATCCAAAGGTTGAGCCTGACTGGCAGTTTGAATCCACCAGCAGCTCCTGAGGGAAAGGTGGGCAATCTCCTCTCGTTGATGTACAGTCTTGGAAAACTTGATGGAGGGTCAGTTATGAATTGGTTCCAATTTGACAGCAATGAATTTATTTGAGAGCACATGTTATACTGCGAATGTTAGTAGAAGAAACAGCATTCCCCACCACTGTCACACACACACACAGAGCTCCCTGCCCCCACCCATGAGTCCCAGAACTTTCTAGGTTTAGAGAAGTGAGCAAATCCTGACCCTTGTCTGGAACTAAGGGCCAAATGCCAGAGACAGGGGGAGGACAGTACTATTAGGTGCTGATTGGCCACGTCTGGGTGAGGAGCACGTGGAGGGAAGGGTGAATGGCCAGGCTATGGCAGCTATTCACGTCACCTGAAACTGTGAGCGGCCTTGAGCAAGGGTGTCAGGCTGGTCCACTACCTGTAGGTCTCTTAGGGCTTGAGCAAGAACCTGGGAGCTGCATAGTTAGCAGCATTGAGGAGCCAATCACAGCCCCTCCTGGAGGAGGTGGAGTCAGAAACCCTTCCCCCAGAGCCTCTGGTGTCCCTGTGCTGTTGACTCTGTAGCTGACACAGGCAAGAAGCAATTAGGCAGGGACAAAGCAGGTTAAGACTCCCTCTCTGTTCTCTAATAGTTCAATCCTAAACCCTACATCTGAGATATGCTTCTTTCCCTCCTATATATACATATATACCTATATATACCTATATACATATATACACATATATACATATATATTGTTGTTGTAATGTGCCGTCAAGTCGATATATATATATCTCGATATATATACATATATATATGACTCCAGCTTATTTCTGTTGGCAGTATAATTGATTATTATAATAGAAGTGGCAGATACTCTCATCGCAGTCCTGTCATATATTTTAGAATATATAAGAGTCACAGATGGGCTAAGGAAAGGGGACGGGAATCAGGGATGGTAAGGCTTATGAATAAATGTGGGACTTGGGGATGGGACTAGCAGTCAAGAAAATGAAAGGGGTGGGGGACAGCAATGAGGGTTGGAATTGAGAATGAACCCAAGGCTCAGATTTGTAGATAGCATTGAGACTCTTGGCAAGGAAGGGCCTAGGCACAAACTATCACACTGCCTCTCTTATTGCCCACTAAATAGAAAGGGTCAAAATATTTCACAAAATAAATATTACTTAAGCGGCTCAGGGGAAACCAGAAGGCTCATATATGTGCACTCACTACTTGAGAATAAATCTAACTAAATTTATAAAAGTCACTTATAAAGGTGATCAAATATGTATAGATACAAAAAGGTCTTGGTTGGAAAAAAAAAAGTAATTGTAAAAGTAACACATTTCCAGTAGCAAATCAGTCTAACTCTACTAAGTTCTTCAGACCCATCCCTCTGGTTACCCTCTCAGGCTGTAACATTGACAGCTCTCTCTCTTTCTGCAGATGGACTGCAACAAAGCAGAGAAGTTTGATTTTGTAAGTTCCTTTGCTACCCTCAGCCCTTGGCTACTTTTCCCAATACGCTTGTCCACTAGCTGCCTCAATGGCTCTAATCCCACTACACAGCTGCCCATGGTAGACACCTATTCCAGACTTAGGGGAATCTTCTGGCTTTGGAGAGGGAAGTCTCCTGCCCTCTTAGACAAGGCTGGGCTGAGGCCTAAGAAGTTCAGAAGGGCTAGTGAGCCAACTATATGTGTATTATTCAGTAATGTGGGACCTCTTCCTGTCTTCCAGGTGCTGCAGTATTTGAACAAAATGGCTGGATATGAATACATGGGTTTCAGCAATGCCACGTACGTCCCTGTTCAGAGGACTGGCTTAAACGCCCTTGTATATAGAGGGTTTTTTGAGAGAGTAGAGGTGGGAGGTAAGGAACGGGAGTGACAGACATAAGAAATCCTAGAGGAACTTTGGCCTCCCAGGTTCCATTGAGCCATTTCATCAAAATTTGCTTATTTGTAAAATAATTTATCTCATTTCTATTTAATAAGTGATGTGAAAGGCAATGTGATAGTTTGTGCCGAGGCCCTTCCTTGCCAAGACTCTCAATGACAAAAAAATTACCAGTTTTCCTAGACAGTTTTGGATTTTTTGTTTGTTCATTTACAGTTTGGTATGCCTAATGATTGCTCAGGTTCAGACGTTTCTTCCAGTGTCACTGTCACCATTTACAAAGGGGCTGACATAGTTTGATACCAATGATATATATAGTTTGATATCTCTCAGGGAAGATGTATCCTCCCTTCTCCCATAATGCACCCTTCAAATTTCAAGCATTAATTTGGATACTTGCTTCAGATTCCAGTCAGAGAAGGAAACAGGGGATCGAAATTATGCCATCGGCTATTATCTCAAGGAAAAGAAGGTAAATGGGAGAAGCTGGTAAAGTCCTTGAGAATTCTGTGGCTGGTGGAGGGGAAACAGGAGGAGACTTTGGCTAAGAACTTAAGAAGGGGGCTGTTAATGACTGAAGAGGAATATTCTCCCCTCTTCTCCCTTGTAGTGCTTTCCTAAGGGAGTGGACATGATGGCTGCCCTTGATCTCTACTTCCAGGTAAGAAGACACTGCTGTTCAGCTGGGCTAAGGGAACAAGACAAACTAACTTCTGTGCTTCAACCTCTCTGATGATTCTGGAATCCCTCAATAACACCAAGGGAGCTTGTTAATAAAAGATGCCGATGCCAAGACTACTGCTCTACACCCAAGAGCACAGTGCCCAGGTCATCCTGTACCCTCACGTCTTCCTTGTCTCCACAGCTGTGCTCCGTGGAAGTCACCTGTGAATCAGGCAGCGTCATGGCAGCCACACTCGCCAATGGTGGGATCTGCCCCATCACAGGGGAGAGTGTGCTAAGCGCTGAAGCAGTACGCAACACCCTCAGCCTCATGCATTCATGTGGCATGTATGACTTCTCAGGCCAGTTTGCCTTCCATGTGAGTATTTCTAGCTTTTCCACTCATGTCCCATGAGTCCAGGACCAAGAAGAGAGGATACCAAGTCTCTGAAGTTTGTTCTTGCCTTTTTCCCCCCATCAATTTCTAGCCAGGCAATTACATCAAGAATCATTAGAGGAGTTCATCAAACACACCAAGGGCCTCAAGCACACAAACACAAGTTTCTGTTTCAGAACCACTCTTCTGCTGCCCTCCTTCACGTCTCAGCTTAGACAGAACTTGCTCAGAGAAACTCTGCTGACCATCCTATTTAAAGTGTGCTACCTTCCACCCCAGTTCTGCATCACACAGCACTTTATTTTTTTCATTCTTAGTGTCAACCATATGCTGTAATTAATTTTGTCCATTTGTGTACCTATTTATTTTCTATCTCCCACTACCAACTGTAAGTTAACTGAGAGCTTTGGCCCTAATTATAGCGCTGTTTCCAGCCCAGAGTAGATAATATTTTCAGGTGTGTCAGTGAATTTAAGGGGCCAAAACCAGATAGACGTAAGAAAAGCAGCTGATAACCTGCTCAAAGGACCCATGCAATCACTTGGGATTCCCTAACTTGTTTGTTAACCCAGATTTTGGGCACTCAACTTATCCTCAATTTCAACTCTGTCCCCTAGGTGGGCCTGCCAGCCAAGTCAGCTGTGTCGGGAGCCATCCTGCTGGTGGTACCAAATGTCATGGGAATGATGTGTCTGTCACCACCACTGGACAAGCTGGGGAACAGCTATAGGGGTACAATTTTCTGTCAGGTCAGTTGTTTTGTGTATTGTAGGTATTTAGTGTTTTGGTGGGGTTTTTTTTTTTCATCAATTAAACAATTCTCAGTGCCTACTTAAGTGCGAGAAGTAACCACTATCTTTGGCTTCTAATTCTAGAAATTGGTGTCTCTCTTCAATTTCCACAACTATGACAACCTGAGGCATTGCACTCGGAAATTAGACCCACGGCGTGAAGGGGGAGAAGTTCGGGTAGGAAAACCCCAGGTGGTTTGTAAGAAAATTTCAGCATAGAACATTCCATAACAATTTAGCAGTACCCTTGGCTAAGTGACAAGGGAGGAAGGATAAAGGTAGAGCAGGACTCAAAGTTACCATTAATCTCAAGTGGGTATGATTCTTCCCCCTAGAACAAGACTGTGGTGAACCTGTTATTTGCTGCCTATAGTGGAGATGTCTCAGCTCTTCGAAGGTACTTCTACTTTGACCTAATAAATATAATGAAACACTCCTGGTCTGAGCTCTGGTGACATAGTCTGTTGAGCGTTACGATGCTAACCCAAAACACTCCAGGTTAAAGATCTCTTTAGGAGGAAAATAGAAAAATATAGTCTTTCATAAACAAGATCCATTCCTAGATGTGTCTTCAAGAATTTTAGTAAGTCAGAACAGATGTATACCATTTTTATATAGCCATACTTTAGAGTAAGAACAGGCTATGCTATGATTTAAAAGCTTTACAAGCAGTAAGTGAAGGTAATTGTAAGGAATTTGTTGCTTCCATAATTTCAAATGAATGGCAAGTTTACACGACACTAAAGGGTAAGAGTTTTCCTCTATGCCTGACAGTCATACCCTGTAATTATAAGTGCTTCAACTCTGAAAATTAGGCAGAATGGACATAGAATGCATTTTTTTTAAAAAAAGTAGTGGCAAGAAATGAACAGCCACTGTCATTATTAACCTGGGTGATAAAAGATGAGTACCAGAAGGCAGAAACCCTACCTGAAATGAAGTGCCAACATTAACAAATACATATCAGGCAGATAGTGGCATTTCTGGAATTATCACACTCTCCCCTTCCTGGTGGGAGAGAAACTGCCTCATCTTGATTCAAAACCAGGATTGTACCAAGGCCTACAGATCTTGTAGGCATTTGTACAGGGCATGATCTCTGGCTTACTTTTTCTGAAACCCATCCAGATGAAGCAGAAAAAATACAAGGATTCTAAGCTAATCTCGGTCACACTAGTTGCTTTCCACCACCCTCAGGTTTGCCTTGTCAGCCATGGACATGGAACAGAAAGACTATGACTGCCGCACAGCCCTGCATGTTGCTGCAGCTGAAGGTATCTGGAAGGTTAAATAAGAGGGGAAACAAATGTCAAGACATAGCCTGCTGCTGCTGATTCTAACGTACTGTGACTAAAGGACACAGAACTGTCCCTTAGGGCTTCGAGGCTATAACTGCAGCAGCAAACTGCTTCATTTTTCTTCCTCAGAGAAGCTGGTGGGTTTGAACTACTGCCCTTTCAGTTAGTAGCTGATCTCTTAACCACTGTGCTCAGCAGGGCTCCTTGTGAGGCCCTACATATCCCATATATTCTTAGCTGGATTGGATTTTCCTTACTAATAACAGAACTCTCATTTTAAGTGTCCTTAGGGTTACAGAGGCAGCAATTAGTTTCGTCCAGACACCTTTTAGATTGCAGACTATTGAAGATGTTGCTCAGAGAAAAATGGAAAAGGGCCTTTTCTCTGCCCTCTTGGGGAGAGTCTGCCAAGAGTCTATACCAGTGTTAACACCAAAGGTTCAAGAAGCGTCCCCTCTCATTTTCCTTCTGTTTGTATTCTCAGGACACACTGAAGTTGTTAAGTTCCTGATCGAAGCTTGCAAAGTGAACCCTTTTGTCAAGGATAGGTGAGTAGGCCTGCAGTGGGGTGGAGATGGGGGCATCAACCCTGTCAATACTCTCTGGTCACCATGCATGTATACAACCACTGCTGCACTTGCAAAGTCTTCTTTGTCTTTGTTCCTCTCAGGTGGGGCAACATTCCTCTTGATGATGCTGTACAGTTCAACCATCTGGAGGTAGTCAAGATGCTTCAAGATTACCAGGATTCCTACACACCATCCAAGGCTCAAGCTGAGACAGCAGCAGAAACCCTTTCCAAGGAGAACTTAGAGAGCATGGTGTGAGCACAGGGCATGGACAGTTCCCGCTCAAGAAAAAGCACGTGTCGGCCACACACTAAACCCATAACCATCCAAAAATTGTTATGGAGAGCTACATTGCTTCAGTGAAGATAAAGAAAATCCTAACTTAGGCCAGTGCTTTCTGTGAGAGTTGTTATAATGTCCTATTATCTTGGCAGACAAGGTGTAGAGAAAGGTGTCAGGGGACACTTGCAGGAGAATACCTACAGACTGTGGACTTCTTTGGGGTACAATGGGTTGGCCCATGTAAAACCATTTAGATTTTCACTTAGGTTCCCTCTTTCCCTCCCTGAAGAAACCATCATGACTGAGAAACACTTTGATAGAGGGGCTTCAGCTACTACACACGTATATATCCTAGTGGAAGGGAAAGGAGGGCCTATGTACCCAGAAAGGCTTATCCCCATTAGCCAGGACATGCTGCTACTGCTGACAGCAATTTTATAGACAGAGAAAGTATTTTGTGCTCAAATAAACTTTAATTATGCAAATAACCATTTTTGTCAAGCCCAGTCTTCTTTTTTTGCCCTAGGGGTATCCAGCAGTACCACCAAGTGCAGTCAAGTCAGATAAGGATGAAATAATACGTATTGCATTCACCCCACCTGATTTTCCCTGACTTCAAGTACTGTTGGTTGTTTTTTTTAAAATTAATTTTAATGAAAGTTTATAGACGTAGGGTTTCCAGTCATTCATTGTTGCCAAATACTGTTTTAAGTACAATCTGAAGCCAAGGCAGATGGGAGGTTGAGTTTGAGAAGGCAAAAAAAACGAATTAGGCAAAATATCAAGCCACTCTTGGAAAGTTCCAACTGTGGAAAAACACAGAACTTCTCAAAGAATTAACACCTTTTAGCACTGACCTAGATATGTCCCAAATGTGTCTTCCCCTTAATTTTAACTGGCACAATGCTTGTAACAGACTGGCTAAGTGTCAGAACTGTCCAGATTAGGTGGACAGATTCAGCTGTAGCTATGAGGGTTGAGGTGTCGCACCAAAGGACTTGAGGAGTTCTCATTCCAATATACTAAGGCAATAAAGCACTTAATGAGAAAGTCATGCCAGATTGTGCATGCACTGTATGTAGAGAAAGGACCACATCACTGATTCACACTCTACCAGCCAGAGGTAGAAAGAATTTACTTTGGATAGATTTGGTAGAACTCCAATAACAAACAGAAGTTAAATGTAAGCAAAGGAAGGAGAGGTATAAATGATGAATAAATTCAAGTTAAAACACATTCCTAGAACTGAATACAGTTAAAAGGTTTAGACCTACGTGTCATGACTGAAGGAGCCAAATTAGGGAAAGCACACTCATTGTAACCTTGGAAACTGGCATATTTCAAGGGTGAGATGAGAGGGAGGGTCTTTTAGCAGAAAACTGGCCAAGAACGTGATTAAGGACTCAAGTGGTGGACATACTAGAGACCCTCAGGAACTTCAATCCCTGAGTGGGTCAGCAGCTCGCCATCCCAAAGGGCAAAGGCTGGTACTACTGGACCCCGGAAACTTGTCTGTAGTGTGTGGACCACAGCAACCCGGGTCACATCCACCAGGCTTAGCTTCTGGGCCTCACAGTCCAGCAGCAGCCCCACTTTCTCTGGCTGCCCGATGCCCTCAATTGGGGTTTTCTCCTTGGCCAACATGGTGTGCCATTTGCGATGGGCATAGGTGAACACCCAAGAATGATCATCAACACCGATACAGCTATCCCGGGATATGTCCGCATCTGCCACTCCTATCCGGAATTGCTGGGAGCGTTTAACTGTCACTTCCCAGTAGTGTCTGCCGCTGGTGACTGCTGTGTCTGCCAGTACCACTGCCCACTCCCGGAAGCGCTCCACATTCAAGGCCACCTTGGTGGGCTCCAATCCTACCATTCCATATTTAACACCTGTGTCACCTTTGAAGAGTGCCAGACTGCTGTGGGCAGTTTTTTCTTCCAGTCTGAAAGTGATGCCTGCGGGCAGAGCAAAGAGATTGGATGATGATGACAGGATGCAGAATCCCAAGCCTGTTGGGATACAACAGTTTGAAACTGGTAATTGACAACAATGTGAAGCTAGTAATCAAGATCAAATGTGGAAGCAAGAGTAAGAACGTAAAACAGGCAAAAGAATGGGGTAATCACTTAAGTATAGACAGTCCCAGGGGCTGAAAAGCTCAGACTGGGGAATTTCGTGATTTAATGGAATTAGATGACTTCCTAGATTTGGAATATCAAAGCACACATAAATGGGGAGGAAAGTGGCCGGAGGCGTCTGAAGTTGCTTCTGCGAGTAGGTTGTGCGATAAACAGAAGGAAGATTTTTCATGCTGGAGTCAAAAGAGGGTGAAGAAAGATAACCCTACCTCTTCGGGCTTCCGCGGCAGCAATTCCTAATCGCTTGGCTCCCCAGCGGCACAGGAGCAACGAAGGTGCAAAGGGTAGCGCCATCTTGCACCACAGACCAACCGGGCACGCCCCACAACCGAGACCCGGCTGTCAGTGTGGCCGGCTCGGTTCACACGTGGTCTGCAGGGGACAGCAGCGCAGAGTGATGACGTATGGAGTCCGGGCCCAGGGGGATCCGCCATGCTAATAAGCTCTCCCCTGGCGCTCTAACTCTGCAGGGTAATGCAGTTGAATTATCTTTGCATTTGGCCAAGGTAGGGTCTGGTAAAGAGGTCGCATAGCATGCTAGTTAAAAGTTTACGGTTTTTCTTTTCTTTTTTTTTTTTAATTATATTTTATTAATTTTCATATACATTTACAGAGATTTTGGGCTTCCACTCATTCATTGTTGCACTATTCTCTCTACCCTCCTCCCAGTTTGTTCTTGTCCAAATGCCACAGTGCTTGTCAAAGCCAGTTCTGATTAATCTTCTTTGTCAGTGTATCCTTTGCCATTCCCTATCACTCCTCCCTGAGAGAGACTTCACCCTGAGTCATAAGGAAAAGGGGACGGCGTATTCTCTTAGCTACTTCCTGCTGAAAAGGGACGCTGTGGGTTTCAGGGTGAAGATCTTCTCTCACTACTCTAAAGGGACCCTTTGGCAGTAGGAAACACATAGACTATTATGGAGACTGATTTTGGAATTCAGATGCACTCTTATTGATTGTGCTTGGCTGTACATGTACATATCCTTCAAGATGTATCATGGGGGTGTTGCAACCTAGAAGACACAAATTTGACTAACAAGTTATAAGTACATGAGTCCAAAAATTATGGAAAAGTAAAAGAAAAGATTCTTTCATTGTTTTACAAACCCTCGGTTTTTCAATTAACCAGTTTTAACCAGTTGAACTGGAATAGGCTCTACCTTGTAATTTCAGAGAAATTACTTCTCTTGAATTTCCTCATTTGTAAAAAGAGAAATAACACCCAGCCCGTTGTTGTTATGTGCTGTCGAGTCGCTTGCGACTCCTAGCGACCCTATGTGCAACAGCCCTAAACCGTGCTCTATCCTGTGCCAATCTCACTGTCTCGGACACAACTACTTCCATTACCCCAATCACTGAATCGATCCATCTCCTTGAGGGTCTTCCTCTCTTGCGCCGTTCTTCCACCCTCCCAGGTATGATAGCCCTCTCCAAGGACTGGTCCCTCCTTGCAACATGCCTATAATATGTCAGAAGAAGCTTTGGAATCCTTGCCTCTAAGGAGCATCCTGGTTTCACCCTCTCCCAGACGAACCTGTTTGTTCTCCTAACAGTCCATGGTATTTTCAATACTCTTCTCCATCACCACACCTCAAAGGCATCAATTCTCTTTCTATCACCCCTAGTCACTGTCCAGCTCTCTGATGCATAACATGCAATTGTGAAGACCATGGTCCAGATCAGGCACACCTTAGTCTCCAGCCCTATGTCGTTGCTCTTCAGTACTCTGGAAAGGTCCCAATGCAATTTGTCTCTTGATTTCCTGGCTGCTGGTACCAAGAGTGTTGATTGTGGAACCAAACAAACTAGAACTGTTAATCTCTATCTCTTCATCCATAATGATGCTGCCATTTGACCCAGTGGTGAGAATCTTTGTTTTCTTGATGTTGACTGAAATCCATATTGAAGACTGCAGTCCTTGACCTTCTGCAGGGTTCTGTCATGTGCATAATGCAGGTTGTTGATGTATCTTCCTCCAATCCTGATGTTACATTCCTACTTGTACAGCCCAGTGTCCCAGATCCCATAGTCCTGTGTAAAAAATGAAATCATCTAGAATACAGTTTGACAAACAGAATCACTGGGTAAGTGAGAGTTGTTTAAAATAAGTATATAAATACTCTTAAGTGTTGGGTTTATATTTAACTTAATACTTATTTTTTTCTAGATTAACCAAAAATAGCAACTTGAGTCACAGAGGGACAGATATAGAGTAGATGGTTATAGAGGCTGCTATCTAACATTTTGGTCTTTATAAGGACTTTTTTCCTTGCTTTCTAAACTTCAGTCTGTCCACTTAAGGCCCTGCTTGCCAGCCCAAGTCAACAAAAAACACTTCATTGCAGTTTAATCAGAACTCATACCATACCTCCCCAGCAGGTTTTCTGGCTTGGGTATTGTTGTTAGGTGTCATTGAATTGAGTAGGACTAATAGCAACCCTATGGACAACCGATCTGAACCCTGTCCTGTCCTGTCCTGTCCTATCCTATCCTGAGCCATTCATCCTCATGATCTCTGACATCTGAGCCCAGTGTTGCTGTCACTGTCAGTCTGTCTAGTTGGTCTACCTCTCTTTCACTGACCCTCCACCCTTCCAAGCATGATATCCCTCTCTAAAGAATAGCCTATGCTAGCAAAATGTCCAAAGTATATGAGATGAAACTTTATTATCTTTGCCTCCAAGGAGCACTCTGTCTGCACCTTCTCCAAAACATATCTGTTTGTTCTTTTGACAGTTCCTGGGATATTCAGTACTCTTTTCCAACACCACAGTTCAAAGGCATAAGCTCTTCTGTTATCTGGCTTTAGGTCTTGCTAAAAACAAGGCTGACAAAGACTCTATTTATTAAAGTGAAGGAGAAAGACATGTTTGCAACTCAGCCATCAGTTCTAGAGAGATTCTTGGCCCTATCTCAAAGTACTTTTTGCTTATAGTGCATTTACAACAACCTCATGATAAAAAAGAATGTGCATTTGGGGGGGGCGGTTAAGGTTATACAGTAATGTAAGTGAACAAGCACTTGGAATCTATAAAATTAAAGAGTTGTTGTTGTTGTTGTTGTTATGTGCCATCAAGTCGCTTGCAACTCATAGGGACCCTATGTACAATAGCCCTAAACTCCACTCTGTCCTGTGCCAATCGCACTGTCTCTGACACTCCCATCCCAATTATCCCAGTCACTGAATCAATCCACCCCATAGAGGGCCTTCCTCTCCTGCGCTGTCCCTCCACCCTCCCAAGCATGGAAAACAAATGTTTTAGGCTAAACATCTACCATTTGCTACTTCAAAGTGATTAAGTTCCTTGGGAAAAACAAAAGGCATTCTTGAGAGATTAAAAAAATTGGTATAGAGGCTTAGGATAAGACTCAGATCTTATAGCATTGTCCAGATTTCTGGAGAATTAACAATCTTTAAACCCTAAAATGTTAAGAAAAAATTATTTTCCATTCCCAGAGTTCTAACCACATTCAACTGGATATGGCCCTGTTTGCGTATTTCTTGTGATGTGGCAACATAGTAACTTCTTTAAAAAAATAATTCTAAAACAACTTTCTTTTTTGAGGGTTTTTTATGAGTTTGCATATAAAATTCATATGCATTGTATTTGGCAACATAGCACCTTCTAAATTTGCCTCTCAGCTTTGATCTGACTATTTTTAATGTCAAATCCATGTTGTTGTTATGTGCCATTGAGTCACCTGTGACTCATAACGACCCTATGTACAATAACTCTGAACCCTGCCCTATCCTAAGCCAATTTTACTGACTATGACATACCTAATCCCATTGCCCCAGTTAGCCTGTCAATCCATTGCATCTCGGGTCTTCCTCTGCTGTGCAGCCCCTCCATCCTTCCAAGCATGATGTCCTTCTCCAAGGATTGGTCGGTCCCTCCTGGCCATATGACGAAAGTATGTGAGACAGAGCTTCAAATCCTTGCTGCCAAGAAGAAACTTGGTTTCACCCTCTCCAAGATAGATCTATTTGTTCTCCTGGCTGTCCATGGTATGTCCAAGACTCTTCTCTGCCCCGGCCCTCGGGGATTTTCAATGGTGACCCTAGGAGGGGAAGAAAGAGAATGGGGGGGGGGCAGGAGGCACAAAGCAGGAAGACAAGTCGAGAATCTCCAAGCAAGTCTTCATTTTATTGAAAGCACTCACAGTATATATATAGGAACACAATGGGGGGAGGAGAAGTATGCAATGGGGGAGAATAACACGTCGTTTCCAGTAAGCAGAAACTTATCAGGGCATTCCCAGTAAACCGAAATCTATCCTCCCAGGGTGGGGCAACATGTCCTTAGAGAATTACAAAATGGCTTCAGAGAATTACAAAATGGCTTCAGCTAGGTAGAACAAACGGCTTCCAGCAGATCCTCCCTTCTTTCAATAATTATTTGAAGACTGCAAAAGCTCAACAGGATTACCTTTGGTGCTCTCCTGTTTGACCATGTATGAAACTGGCCCCTGTCTTAGGTTGGACACCGCACCTACTGACCTTACCCATCATGGGCTAACCCAGCAGCTACGGTGGGGCGCCTGTCTTAGGTTGAAACGGGCCAGTGTCTCTTACCCGTCTCTGGCTGCCCAGTTTATTAGCCTGTATCATCAAGGATTTTCTTTATCGGCCATTTGCAATCTTTGATAATGGACTTGTATGGGACGGGAGGCTATGGATTCGACCTGCTGCTTGATAAAGCATGTAAGCCTCTGAATTGCCCAGGGGCCAAAAGAAATAAGCAAAAGAAGCCTATTGAGGGCCCTAAAAAGGAGTGACTGGTCTTTGACCACATTCCCTTAACTTTTAGGCCATAATTGATTGTTTATACATTCTTTTGCTTTAAATTTTGTCAAATATGCACTAACCCAATTAAAAACTTAGTCGTGTGGACTTCTTGTGTTGAAGCTACAGCAGAAGTAGAGACGGCAGCAATCATAGGGATAAGGGAAACAATTTCTACAATAACAAGTCCTACAACTCTCTTGATTCTTAATGATAACTTATATAACACTTTTAAAATTTGCAAGCATTATTATCATACCAAATATCATTTAACTTTACCAATGTCATAACAAGAGGAGGATTCTTTAGAATAACAACTGAATCATCCTTTGTAACAGAGCTAATATAGTTAGAAATTTTACGGGAACAATTTGCATTAAATTTTGGATAATCACCAGTGATTACATTATTACCAATTAATAAGACATATGGTTCAGGACTTTGGCATTTGTGACATTACCTCCCTTACATTTATCTTTTGGTATACTGAAAATATTTATAGATCCCATACTAGCAACTAATTTTCATAAT